ATAATTCCTAAACTTTATGAATCTCTAGATATGTAGTTAACTTTATGCTACTGCCATTGAATACTGTTAGGAGAAGTAACCCTGTTCTTTTTAGTGTAACCTTGATCTGTCTCAGTGTTCATATTGTAACTATGTATGTCTTGTCTATGGATAAGGATGATATATTATTGGTCCTGAAGGTTTCTCAGTACTCATTTTATTTTTGATGCTATAATCGATGCTGATTTATCTGTCGTCATTAGTTAGTTTTAACATATCAGTACTGGATTGTCTTGTGATCATTAACAATTTTGTCTTCCATTCCTGCAGAACTGAGACAAATAGATGTACTCTCCCAACCCAAGTAAACAAAACTGGTTGGATCCAGTGACAGACAAAAGCCAACAGTAGGTCACAGCCAGAGGACCACACAGAAAGGTAGTCACTAACTAAAGAGATCCCCATATTACAAACAAAGCTTTCCACTACAATCAACCCACAAGCCTAAATTAAAAAAAAAAATTCTAAATAGAGAAAGTCAAAAAATGTCTCTTAAAACTCCTAATTCTGCCAAAGTTGATCCAAGGAGCTTCGAGGAGGAAGAAACCAAAAGCCACACATCCTAATTATTCAAAATGATATTTAGGGATATAATGAAACAGATCAATGAGACATCAGTAACCTCACAGAAGATATAAATAATAAGGTATTGGACAAAATAAGATATTAATAAAAAGCTAGCAGGGATAAACAAAGCAATGCAAAATATGCATGACCAATATAGAAAAGAATTAGAGTCCATAAAAAGGCTGCAAATGCAAATTCAGGAAACTAAAAATTCTACCAAAAGTATAGGCAGCAGAAGTGACCAATATGAGGGCAAAGTGTCAGAACTAGAAGACATCTGTTGCTGGTAACAAATTAATGACAGAAATCTTAATAAAATAAGAGAGCATGTAAAATGCATCCCAATGGATTCTAAATAATGCAAAGAAAGTTAATTTAAAAGTTAGCTGGAGTTAGTGAAAAATTGTTTAAAAGCATAAATGCCATTTTCAAAAAACCTGCTTACTAAAATAAGCAGAAAACTTTCCAAGTAAAAGAAAAAAGATCTTATCATACAGGTAAGTGAGGTATATAGAACCTCAAATAGCCATGATTAAAACAGAAACTCTCTACAACACATCATAGTCAATATCCAGAAAGTCCAACACAAGAACAGAATCTTAAAAGCAGTTAGAGTAAACCAATAAATCACTTATAAAGGTAAACCCATTAGAATTACATGAGACTTCTGAATACAAACCTTCAAGGTCAGGAAAGTTTGGAATTAAGTGTTTCAAGCCATAAAAAAAAAAAAAAAAATGTGCAACCCAGGCTGATATAACCTCCAAAAGCATCTTTCAAAATTGATGGAAATATGTGGGAGACCAGTTAAGCAAAGTTAAGACCTAAATGGCCTCCCCTGTGAGCGCGAAGGAGAAAGGCATCACACAGGGATAACAGTGTGTTGCAGGTTCTAGGATAAGTTTATATAGCTGAGATTAGGTTATTGACCTGGGCATGTACTAAATTAATACTGGAAGACAGATGAGCCTGTGTTGCTTTAATTACTGTACCCATGTTTGAGTGAATAAGAGGTCAAGCCAGAAACTCAGGGCTCCTCTGCCCAGAGGCAAAAGCTCCTAGCTGCCTATATATTGAACTAAGGGTGTCTGCTTTGTCATTTAACCTTGTTCACCCGCAGGTCAGGGGAACAAACTAACTAGTGCAGGGCTAGGTAGTATACTAGGTGGGAAAAGTTCAGAGGAATGAGTTGTTTCCCATAGGTAGCACCTGGAGCAGGAACCTCGGACCCCACAGAGATGTAAGATATTTTCACAATAAAAAGCATTTTAAGAAATTCTTGACCACCACCAGCATTATAAAAAGTTTCAAAGGATATCCTAGGAAGAGACAATGAAATTAACAATCACAAAAGGTCTAATAGAATGAATATACTAGGTAAGTTAAGCAGTAAGTACAAGGAAAAGTCAGTCAACCAACAACAGGAAAATAAGGCAACATCAGGAATAAGTCAGTATCTATCAGTAATAACTCTCAATGTGAACAGTTTCAATTCCCCAGCAAGAAGACACAGACTGGCAGAATGGATCAAGAAGCAAAATCCAACAGTATGCTGTATACAAGAAACACATTTGGGGCTGGGGATTTAGCTCAGCGGCATAAGCACCTGCCTTGCAAGCAGGCGGTCATGAGTTCAATCCCTCGTACCGGTAAAAAGATTGAAAAAAAAAAAAAAGAAACACATTTAATCCATCAGGGTTCTTGCTGAGTCTTGCTTTGTAGTTGGGGCTGTCCTTGAACTTGGAATGATCCTCTTCTTTCTGTCTCCCAAGTTTTGAAATTATAGGCATACACCACCATGCCTGCTCATTCAGATGAATTATAGTAATGTTTCCTAGACTAAACTACTCAGTTATTATTTGGAGCCTACCGTATCCTTCCTTATATAGTAGTTCAAATTGGCACTGTATTTTCTGATTGTTTCAGCTGTATTTATTCTAATTAACAGTTTATATTTCACAGAGAAATGAAAAAAAGCATTTACCAGCAGAATGCAATGAACCATTAAAAAAATCCAAGGAAATAATGTCTTCATTCAGAGTTTGTAATTTAACTATATCTACATTAAAGTTTATTCTCCTTTTACTCAACAATATATTTATGAATACCATTTCTGAATATTGTTTAGATTAAGGTTACTTCTAACTTGATCTGCAATCTCTCTTACTAACTGGGACAACATCTGCTAGTGAGGATGCAGGCTGCTGGCCCAGCTGTTTATCAAGTTTCCCTGCTATAAAAAAGAGATACTGTCTGAGCTTTCAGAACAGCAGTAATTCATATCTTTTTAAATAAAATGTAGCCAATTCATCTAAACAAAGACCAGCATCCCTAAATTGCATATGAATCAACCAATTTTCCTATTTATAAAAAAAAATATTCAAAACTGCCCTTACTGGTAAATAAGATAGCTATTGTCATAGCCAAAGTTTAGGAACACTTATGTGAATAAGGCTACCAATAAGGTACAAGTAACATTTTTTCCCAAGGAAATAATGTATTCATTCAAGGTTTGTTATTTAACTAAATCTACATTAAAACCTATTCTCCTTTTGTTTAACAGTGTATTTAAGAACACCATCTCTGAGTACATTTAGGTTGCTTTTAACTTGATCTGCAATCTCTCTTACTAACTGGGACAACATCTGCCAGTAAGGTCACAGGCTGCTGATCAGCTAATTTAACAAGTTCAACCCCTGTTGTAAAAGGAAGATACAGTAGAAGCTTTCAGAACAGCAGTAATTTATGTGCTTTTAAATAAAATCTAGCAAATTCACCTGAAGAAAGACCAACATACCTAAACGGCATGAGTCAACCAATCTTCGTATTTAAATGGAAAAAAAGAAAAAAGATGCTCTTAACTGCCCTTTAAATGACTGCTAGTGTCACAAAGTTTAGGAACATTTATGTAATAAATAAGGCTACTAACAGGGCACAAGTAACATTTTTTTCCTCTCCTCTTCACTCTTTAAACTTTTAGTTAGAACGTCTCACAAAAAAAGGTTAAATGTAGTTTGAAACTATGGTATTATGCTAACTTGTGAAAGTATGACTCCTGGAAACAAACTACTGCCATTAATGCATTTCATAAAACTTTACTTTCTGATTTCACATCCAAAAACGTGTTGTAAATTAAGTTAAATAAGAACTACCTAAAAGTTTTAAATGACTTTTAAAAATTTATATTTCTACTTTGAGTTTTAAGGGTCAGTGTTTTAACCAGCAATAGTAAACACGTTTTTTAAATGCTGTGTTCAAAGCTCAAAGAAAATGATCCGAAAATACTGTACAATAGGTGAACATATTCTTTGCGTTAAAGCTCAAGTCATTTCACTTAAATTTTGCTGTCACTGTGACAACAAATATTAGCAATTTAATAATGTAATTTCAGAGCCACAAACCAGCCAATAAATTTAATGTTAAGTATCTAGAAGGCTTGGAACCTGACTTTCTTAATGACTTAAATGCGAGTACACAGAAGGCTACCCTAAATTAACTTATCTGTTACTTTCCCGCAACCACTCATTTGTTTTTATAACAGTCAGGGCTCTAACAAACATCAACCGATAAGAAGAAAGTTGCTTTACTTATGGGAAAGCAAATTCCTTAACACATCTTCAGAAAAAACAAAATGTTCCAACAAAAGAGCTGATAATGAATTAACTAACTAGAAAAACTCAGTCTTTATTACACACCAAAAATAGTCCAACTATTTTATTATTTAACTTAACCAAAAATCCTTGTGATTTTCAATTCAAGACTGTTTTAGCAAATGGAACATAGCACATTGGCTAAAGCGAACATTACGGGGTAAAACTGGCCAAATTTGAAATGATGTGCCTCAATTTCACTCATAGATACGATATTCTAGTAAGTCTAGTAAGTCAGAGAATTCTTGAGAGGAGCAAATGAGATAATTAACCTAAAGTGCTTGGAATAGTCTTTTACATATAGTAAGTCCATCACAAACCCTACTTTCTATGACCACTGATTACTGCCCTGAAACGTTGGCAGTGGTCACCTACAGTGGAGTAGGAAAGGGGCAGCGGGAGCTCTAGTAAACCTCAACTTTGAACCTTTACACTGCTGTCTTTGACTGTTTCAGAGTCCGTACGTATTTGTGACACTGATTCATTACTAATTTTAAAATACTGTCCTGACAAAATGGTGTTTGGTACCCTAACTGAGTGAGAAAGTCGCTGCGGCATCTAGAACGTCTGCAAGGGCTTCTCTCCACGCCGGCCGAGGCTGCGCCCCCGGGTCCGCGGCTGGAGGGGCGCAGTGATGCCCCCGCTCTGGCCCGTTCACGCGGGGGCCACTGAGGCCGCCGCAAGGAGGCGCGGGCGCGCGTGGGGCGGGGCTGAGGTTCGGGGGCCGGCGGAGAAGGCACTTACTTGAACCTGCCCTGGCAGTGCTGGCACTGGTCCCCCACCCAGCCCGGGTCGCAGAGGCAGGTGGAGTTGACGCAGCGGCCCGAGAAGCAGGAGCCGGTCTTCTCGCAGGGCTTGGACTGGGACACCTGCGCGTAGAGCGCCAGGTAGAGGAAGCCGTAGCTCAGCAGCCAGCTGCTCCTGTCCAACAGCCAGGAAGAGCAGGCGCCGCAGCCTCCGCAGCCGCCGCCGCCCGCGGGTCGAGCCCTCCACAGCCCCGAGGCGGCCGGCTGAGGGGCGCCAGTGCGGGCCTGGCCCCCCGGCTCCATCCCGCCCGGCGCCCCTGCCCGGCGGGGCTGCGTGACGGGAGCGGACAGCGACGCTCTTGAGAGGATTCCTCCGGCGAGAAGCTCGCCGCCGCCGCCTCTGGTCTCCTCCTCCGCCTCCTCTTCCTCCTCAGCGGCGCCTGCCCCGCTCCCGCTCTCCGGTCAGGAGGGACAGAACCCCACGGCTGTCGCCTCCGCGCCGCTGCCTCCGGTCGCACTCGGACATCGCCGCCCAGACTCCTGACCTTGTCCGCGGTGGGCCGACCCCGCTGCTGCGGCGCCCCAGCAGGACCGCAGGAGCGGAGCGGGCGGCGCACTCAGCAGAGCCCCGCGCTCGAGAGCGGACCTGACAGGGAGGAGGAGGGGGCCCCGCGCGGCTCCGCCTCACCCTCCGCCCGCGCCAACTGCCTGGGCTCTGAGCGCTGCGCGCCCAGGGGGCGGGGCCGAGCGGGAGCCCCCGATGTGGGCGCGCCCAATGCGGGAGGGGGGTCCGCGGAGGAGCGGTCAGCCTAGTGCCGTACGCTCGCCACCCAGCGGCCGGCCAGCAGCCATTTTCTCTCTGAAGCCCTTAGCGGACGCTCAGACTGCCGTTGGAGCTCGCCGCAAGTAAGGCGGCCCCCGCAACCTCGCGCGTGTCCCCGCGTCCCCCCTGCGGCCTGGCGCCGTGGTCTCGCCCCGCCTCCGACGGGGACCTGGGACTCCCTCCGCTCACCCGCCACGCGAGGGCGAGCGGAGGGAAGCTGGTCCCCCAAGTGTGGCCCGCGTGCCCGCGGTGCCCTTCCCTCGCCGCGCCGGGGAACTCGTCCCCGCCCCCTCCACGCGGAGCCCGACAAATGAAAGATCGAGTCGGGCTACGCGGGTTCCGCAGAAAAGCCATTGCGCCCGCGGTCTCCAGCTGCAAAAGTGCAGCGCTTGCTTGCTAAAGCTTCCCCTTTCACCGCCCCATCCTGCTGCCTGTTTCTTGCCTTTTTTCTTAAAAGAGAAAAACTCCAACTACACACAAAGAGCTGAGCATGTGCAGCACGCAATAGTCTTAAAGGCACCACGGGCCGACCGCGTTTGGGCTCCGCGAGGATAGGGAGGGGAGCCTCTCCAGCGGAGGGGCTGCTCCGAGGGGAGCCATCTCTGCTCAGGAACCGCGACTCCCCGGTGCCCAACAAAGAGCCCGGGCTCGGAAGGGCCCGCGCCATCCCTTCCCGATGCTTCCTGGAACCCAACATTATCTCCCTTTCTGCTTGTCAGTGTTTCTTCTTCCATCTGGGACAATATTATGCCTTGAAAAATATTGCAACATCGGGGCTTTTTTTTCAGGAGAGCAGAAATGATGCCCAGTAAAAAAGCTGTTTTCCTTTCTCAGCGGCAATCTTCTCTTAGAGGACTTTCCAAGATTTGATGGCCGGCGCTGAGATTTCTGCTTTGTACTTTTCTGCTTTCTGTTTGAACCCTTGAGAAAAGAAGCCCAACACAAATTGAAGCCATGCGACCTCGAGTTGCAGCAGTGTTGCTGAAGCCCCACCAAGAAGCAGGCAGTATGAACAAAACTGTGAAATCTATCAGAGACGTTTCTGACAGCAGAAGGAACCAAGTTTTGATTGTAACCACACAGTCATATTATTGTTAATACTCAACTCATTTGGACTTTGAGAATAATGTACCTATGTCATCTGTTTTAATCTCTGTCATCCACACTTTGTAGATGAAATCCTCCATTAACCCCATTTTGCAGATGAGAAAAGAAAGACTCCGAAAAATATGAATAGTGGTCTATGGAAGGTTAGGAATAAGCAGAGGCAAGTCCTCTGAAAACGGTGCTCTTCCACTACTTATCAGGCTGCTTCTATTAAAAGATGCTTTGTTCTCCTTTGGTGAGTAAAATTAAGTGTTGACTTGGTTTGCAACCAGCTCAGCAATGAGTTTAAAAGGAAAACAGGTCCAGAAATAAGTGGCTCCTTCCCAAGAGAAAAATATGAAAAAGCCATGATTCTCAAGTCAGCACAACAAATAAATTTCCACCTCAAATCAGTACCAGTAATGTACCATTATCTATACCAGTGATGTCATTGTCAGACCTAAATGTTGTATAGTGCTTCTTCCTTTCACACTTTTGTTTTGTTTTGTGACAGAGTCCTGCTAAGTCACAAAATTGCCCAGGAAACTTCAACTTGCGCTAGGATTATAGGACTGTGCCACCACACCTGTCAGATTGCTCGAGATAAGGAAAAAAGTAAAGCTAAACACTCAGGAAAAAAAAAAATTAAAAGAAGGATATTGTTCTGGATCACACCTTTTAATTTCCATGATTATGAAATTCATAACCCTTTCTAGTATCAGCCATACCTGAGCTGCTGCTTTTCCATTTTTCTCTTTCTGGCAGCCAATCTAAAGTAAGCCACATCTTTCTCACATCTCACAGGTAGAATCTCTTTCAGACGTGTGGAAAGTGGCCCAGCTCTTAAAACTCTAAAACTATCAATGAGTTTGAAGGTAATTCAAAGGGTGTACTGGAATCTCTTTAATGAAAGATCACAGTTCACCTATACTGACTGTATCCTATATTTGAGCAGAATTTCCCCATGAAAAATATTTATCTTTTAGTCATGTAACCACTATCACCAGCTCAATACTTCACCTTACTCTGAGGAACGTGCAGCACCTCAGATTCCAACTATACATCCCCTTTAGAATCAAACTGAATATATTAAATTAATATAAAATTATTCTCATAAAGATCTCATGGAATCTCCCTTGCTCTACATCATATTTCTCTTTTAAATCATTTCAGTCAGTATTTTCTGGGTAACTATGACAAGTTCAAACAGAAGAAAACAAAGATGAATAGACATGATTGATACTACTGGTTAAACTTTCCCTTCACTGAATTGTGAGCACCTTATAAAACTGAGTGTCACATTTTACAGATGTAGACAAAACTTTATTTTAAACAGGCACACAAAAAGTCAATGACAAAGCTTGCCTGGTACCTTGACTGAGGTTTCAGTAAAATTTAAAATTCTCGTATTATCATTATTCCATAAAGAAGTAGTGTCGCCATATTAGCAGTGTCATACAACACTAAAATAATTCATAGTATTGGTAACAGTAGTCATAAATTTAGCATAAAGGTAAAAAATTACTCCACAAAGGTAGTGGAGAACAAGTTTTACTGAAATAAGATAAAATTAATCATTATCTATTAAAATTTCTCCAAGGGAAAGCATAAGAAAAATGTGTTTTCTCCACAATTAGTCTTATATCAAGACCTTCAGATATTTGGAAGAATCTACTTTATCCCATTCATAAAATTTAAAATATTGGTTTTGCAATAGGATGGGGAGAAACATTAAGATATCACATTGCCAATGGCTTGAAGGAAATTTGAGAGTTTTTTAAAAAGTGTAAGACAAATGATAGCTTGACTGATCCTTTGATCATTACTCAAAAAGTAAAAGATTCAGCTGAACTAATGAACCAAAGTAAATCCTTCTCAGTTACTTGATAGAACAATCTCTACTGTGATTATTGTTTGCCATTCCAGTTACAGAAGACGTCTGAAAGCAGAGGCTAAATGAGAGCTACATGTAGCCTGGTTCCAACAGCCACAAATGTATTCATTCAAGGGACACAGAGTACAAGTAGGGCAACATTTTTAAGACACTAGTAGAGAATAAATGATCTGTGGGGTTAGACAAAGAAAAATACTGACTGTAACCACTCGCTAAACTTGTTGATAGTATTAAAACATTACCTTCCTCTCCAACAAAATTTAACATTCTGCTTTTTCTTGGATTCATTCTTTTCTTCCATCCATTTCTCTTGCTGTCACACACACACACATACACTCATCCATCTGCCAATTTTTCTACTTAACACATTTCAAACATATTCTTACAAGTAAACCCAAAGAAATAAATCCAAGGATTCTAAATTCGGTATTAGGTATAACTGGGAAATAAAATGAACAGCCTTAAAGTTTTCATCCTAAATACTCAGATTTGTTACCAAAATAATATTGATTGCTAATAATCAATTGCAAAAATTTGTCTGTTGTGAAATTTAATTCAAGAAAAATATAGACCACAACCTCTTGTTAAACATAGTGGATTAAGTATATAACTTTATCTCTGCTGCCTTTACAAACTCTTATCAACATGACAGGAAAGAATTTTCTGGTTCCTGAGGGGAGTCCTGGTTTATTTGTTTTGCTTTCATTTTTAAAGGTATAAATCTACAGCAACAAAGAAAATGAGAAAAAATTCAACTTACAGCTGAGAGATGGCAAGGCATTTGAAAATGTTAGTGAAGGAGAACAAATAGAGAGATGATCACTGAAACATACATGCCCTCTGAAATGAGTAACAAGAACAAAGCCTTTTTCTCCTACAGAGGCCAAGAAAAGATCAGACTCAGAGTTTAGAATTTCTGTACAAGGCAGAGTTGAGGCTTTAGGATAAAAACAAGGGAAATAATTGAGGCCAAAGTAACCACTTACAATCTCCCTCTTCACTCCAAACAGATAAATACCACCCTAAACCCAATGCAGCAGAAGTTTAAATTCTTAGAAAATTGATTTGAGCACCAGAAAGTAGAAGGAAATGAGGTACTCAGCTGAAAATAGTGGGATCAAGTGAAAATCTGTATCTGCTATCTTTTTCTACCTGTGCCTAGAACACCTACCACCAACTGAAGGACTTACTTGCAGTAAAATGAATTCTAGTTGATTATACTTATCTAGTTGAAGTATATTTATCTAGTTTATCAAGCTGAAATATATGTATCTGCAAAGTATGAAAGACAAAAGATACTGTCATTTATGAAGTCACCTAACATAAGAAAGCCTCTAGATCATACCACAAGGAAATCTGCTAGTCACTAAGTCTTACTATGGTTCATTTTTCAAAGTTCTGCTTAAATACATATAGTAGTGGTTCACTAGATCTAAAAGAAATCAAAATAAATGGAAAAAGAAAATTAGAGGAAATATAGTCAAGTGACATGAAAGATTTTGCAACATAAGACAGACAGACTCTTTTAATATAAGGAGATAATTAATTAAACAACAAAAACTTGTCAGTCCCACGAGAGCTCTCTAAATTCCCAGGGTAAAGAATGACAAAATGATGAAGAAAACCACAAAAATTTTAGTTTTATTTCCAAATTTCCAACTCTGCCACCTGTATGCTGGTTACATTTGAATGATTCATGAATGGTTATGCCTCAGTTTCCCCATATATAAGATGAGAGTAGCCAGGTATGATAGTGCATTCCTGCAATTTCAGCACTAAGCAGGCAGAAACAAGAGATTCACAATGAGTTTGAGGCCAGCTTGGACTACAGAGTGAGGTCAAGATCAGCCTGAACAACATAGTGAGATCCT